GTTTGATTATGCACCCACATGTTGTATCTTCTTGGCTAGGCCTGGTCCAACACCCGCAGGCAGACCCTGTGGTCCCTTTCTGTTCATCGATGCCTGGTCTAGAACACCACTTCGCTTGGATCCGTGCGTGTGTGTGCCTACAGTTGTTTTTTCAGTATCGGCTGCACTGAGTCCAATTCAGAGTGTAAATACTTGTCTGCATATTTGGGTATGAAAATGGTCAGAGGTTCAAAACATTCGGGTGATTGCAGCTGGTGTATGAAGAATGTGGAAGTTTGGGGTTATTCTCCGAGTAGGTGAAAGTGGAAGAGGATACCAGAGGGGCAAAATGACTGAAATTCCCAGGAGCCAGAGATTTACATTAAAAAGAAGAGAGAACTAGGAACCCTCTACCTTACTGCTAATTGACCTCTTCAGGCTCTCCGAGGTGGAAATATTGCATGCCGATATAGCACAGGTATGGGAAATGTGTGTTAGGGAAGACTAGAGCACGTGATGTATGAGAAAAGGCGAAGGGAGACTCATCTGTTCAGCCTCCAGGAGAAAAGGTGGATGGGAGATCATATTGCCATCTTCAGCTTCCTAATGGGAGAGCAGAGAGGAGACAGAACCAGACCCTACTTTAAATTAAGCAGGAAAAAAAAGAAGCAACAACCACAATTCACAATACAGGAGATCCCAGTTGGATGCTGGGAAAGAAAATTTCACCACAGGAGTGGTCAAGCACTGGAAGAGGTTGCCTAGAGAAGATGTGGGGTCTCCACTCTGGGAGATGCTTAACCTAGAGTGGAAAGGGCCTTGAGCAACCTGGGCAAACCTAACCTACTCTGAATGAGAGGTTGGACCAGATGACTTTGGAAAGTCTGTTCCAACTGAAGTAGTTCTGTGAATCTATAGTTCTCACCCAGTTGGTCTGTGAAGTGCTGGGACTGACTGGGTGCATTACTGTTTTGGCAGGTGAGGGCAGGTGAGTTCTAGGGGAAGGAGAGTGTTCAGAAATACCATTTCATGGATAGAAGTTCCTTAAAATTTATTTGTCTGTGCTGTGGTTTTGAGAGGCTCTATAGGCTGTCTCCCTTCTTGTGTTAACTAGAGGTTATATGGTTTTCCTGTGTCTGCCATTAACACTATACATAAGTGCATCTGTGTTGAGAATGATACCTCAGAATTGAGCCTCAGTGCAACAGGAATTGTTCAAAGCCTGAATTGGATGTCACTGGTGCACTCAGTGAGCACAGCCAGACCCAGGCTTCAAAAGCTAGGCTCCAATGGCTTGCTCTAGGAGGGTCTTGGAGATAGAGGACAAACTGGGATATTGTGTGCATTCTGTCCTAATTATATTCGCATGCTCAAAAAGATTAAAGAAAGAACAAACATGATTTTCTTTTAATAAGAGATTGATAAGGACGTCGGGGAATGGACACCTACCCACTGCATTCTTCAAACACACAACATGCTGTGAGCATAATATTTCCAAGAATGGAAGAAATACCGAGATGTTCAGATTGACATTTCAGTGCCTGCCTGATTTCAGTGTCTGTCTGAAATGCAGGGTTCAGTAATCCTGTTATGTGTGCGGCTGGCACACTCCTCCTTCTTCAGCAATGTGCCTCCCATAACTGCTATAATAAGACAGAACAGCCAAAGCCTGATCCTGTGTGCCTCGTCCTCTCATTCAGCAAAGTTATATCGTCATCAGGTGCAACCTATTGTTTTCTTTCCTGCTGTGTGCTATTGATTTTTCTAACCTTTCCTAATGGTAAATTTGTTTGGCTTTTTAACTTTCTTACCAAAGGTTAATGTTATTAAGTTGAGCGGGTATCTATAAAACTCGGAGCGTTACAGCCTACCTTGCGATGGTTGTGCTGTCCTTTCATTAAACCCGAAGATCTCTGTCGTTCGGGACTAATAGGGTGAAGGTTGACAAGAACTGCATTTGAAGTGTCGTCCAATTCTGTGGCATAAAATATTGGATTTCATGTGTCAGGAGCAACAGATTTACCGTCAGTGAACATGAACTGCGCAGACATTAATCCCAGCGAGGCGGTAAGGAGGAATGAGTGCTGCTGCCTGTCCTCTTCCCCACTACAGTCTGACCACACCAGTCTCTTTGCCCTTGTGGCAAAATGAACGGATCTAAAATCTCTGCCAATTCCAGAGCTGGTTGTCTGCTTGATGTGGAGAGAGAGTGAGAAATCACCGTTTAATTTGAAGGCTGTGGTGGCTCTAATGGTGGCACCATCTCAACATCTTTTAGGATGTTCTACAGCGTGAAGTGTCAGAGGTGCAGTCAGTGAGCAAACCATCCCAGGACACCAGCGTTCAGGTGTTGGTTTTAGCTACTGCTGCTGCAGTACCCTCTTGGCATCAATATCATGGATGCAGTAAACTGCCTTTCCTGAACTGTGCATTTGACATCCTGTTTACACATTTAGACTGCATTTGTGTCGTATATTGGAGGCCTTTTATTGTGAGTGGGTCGGATGCTGGTGTGGCGCATCACAGGTTTCCTCTGGAGCTGTGGTCTGCGGTGCTCCCAGCCACCACGCTGACGTTATCTTGCCTTGGTAGTACCTTCTATTTGCTCTGAAATGTTTTTCTTACCAGAGAACATCCTGAGAAGCCAGGCAAGGACTAACCTCTATGTTTTTAATCATAGAAAGCATAAAATAATAAAGCAGTTTAAACAGTTGTAGATTGTCACTTAAAAAACGTCACAATTTGGACTTCCCTGGGTGGACAGCAGAATTGCAGCCTACCTACAGCTGTCAAAACCTGACTGTCCAAGGAGATCAGGCTTGTTAGTGACTGCAGGTAGGAGTATTTGACAGTGCTGGGGGAGAGTGGGGGTAAAATCTTCTATTTATAAATCAGTACCTATAAACCACTTAGTTTTGCCAGTGCTTTGAAGCCAAGGAATAGCCCTGGCAAAAGATAAAAGACCTTCCTTCTGTAGTGCTAATGTAGGAGCTGGTCGCTCGGGTTCTGTCTCTCCTCCCATGCTCAGCAGTAGCTGTCCTTGCTGGTGATTGAGTCTTCATCTGTCACGTTCTCGTGCTGTTGGAAGCCTGACTGTGAAAGACCGGGGAGGTTCTGTTCACAGCTTCTCACAGCTTGCTCTCTCTTGCCACTATCAATGCCGGTAACAAGACTGACAGAGCACCCCGTTCGTAGTGAATGAGACATCTCTTTATTTAGAGTGCCTTTGATTAACAAATCCACTTCACTAGTTTTCAGGTCTAACTGTGGGCTTTCTGGGTGGGCCTGGACATCTCCACACCTTTCCTGGGCTTCCTTGGTGTCTCTGGATAGAGTTGCACGGCTCACGTGTTCGTTGCAGACTCCAGATGGCCCTTGTCCCCTCACCCCCTGCCAGTATTATGTTTCGGCCTTTCCTGGTGAAGAGTGGAGACGTGGCAGCTCTTCAGATTTTTGTGAAGATGCTTAGCACGGAGTCTCCAGCTCCATTTTCCCTAGCCTCTTCGTGGTGGCAGCAGCATTGCTTCTACAAGGGAGGTCTTCGGTTCCTTGTGCTGGTGCAGCTGTGTGGTGCTTCACCTCAGCGGGCCTGTTGATACTACTTGAAAAGGTATTTAGGGCAATATCAGGTGTTAGAAAGGCTACCACTTCTGACCAGATTTTCTTTCAGAAGTTTTTGAGGAGGGGGGAGAAGAATAAAAGCATGCCGTCATCTCCTCCCTTATCTCTTCCACTTCATAGAATCACAGAATGGTTTGGGTTGGAAGGGGCATTAAAGCCCATCTAGCTCCAACCCCCCTGCCATGGGCAGGGACACCTTCCACTAGACCAGGTTGCTCCAAGCCTCATCCAGCCTGGCCTTGGACACTTCCAGGGATGGGGTGAATCAAAATCCCAAATCATCCCCATTCATCCCAATCCCCTACTGCATCATGGTTTTGTTTGGCTTTATGTGCATTTTGGCTGTGTGGAGTCTATGGCTTTCAGTGAGGAGTCTGTGGCTTCCTATTAGTGGCTTATTATTCTGTTGCATGTGATCCACTTAACTCCATCCATACACAAATCTGAGAAATTTCATCATCTTTATTTTTACCACTAAGGCAGAGGCAACTTTAGCATTTTTGGGTTTGTTTCTGAGGTAACAAAGTAACGTACTTTATACACACAGGCGCACGTACAAAGTTTCTGTAGTCTGAATGCTTTTCTCTTATCAGTTGTTATTGTGTGTAGCAGAAACATAAAATCTGTCAGATAAAGACAAAGGTAGGAGGCTTTTAAAGGGACCTTGAAGTGGTAGGAGAGGGAACCTCTAAATTCAACATGTATGGTTCTTATTTTAATTTACGATGCTGTATTGGGCATTTTGTATCCTTGAAGCCTCTTTGAATAGTGACTTTATGTGGTAGATATACTCCACTTTTCCATACTCAGCTTTTTATCAGAGACTTAGGAATTGCTTTAGCACTCAATTAGGAAATCTGAACTCCTGCTCTTCTCCACTTTAACGTGCTCTCATCCATATTACCCCACTGCTAGGAAATTATTGTTGTATCACTGCAAATTAACTAGTAGAGCTGCAGCGTTTCGGGGCAGCTTGGGCCCTTCTGTCTGCTTACATTCCTACACTTCTGAATATCTGTAGCAGAAACACAGTCACTGTGGCACCCGAGAGGACACTCATTTTCCTGGAACCTGATCCTGGAAGTTACGATCACCCAGGGCTCACTACACCAGAACTTGCCCTTCGAGCAGAGCATCGTGGAACATGCTTATCCCAACACCAGGGATGGGTTTTGAATATCTACTCCTGTGCCGATCGAACCGCCGTGTCATCATGCTCAGCTGCGGCCTGCGGTCTTGGGGCTCTCTGCGGGTAATCGTCTTGTACTTCATCCTGCAGCTCCGTGCAGAGGCTGTAGGAGTTGTTGGCTGCAGTTAATGTCACCAAAGACAGCATTACTTCTCAACAGTGAAAGATGACTGACATTCTTTTTCTCTCCATTTTGCTGCTTCTTCACTAGGGGTGTGAGTTAATTGAGACCATGGATCAGGACCTCACAGATTTCACCAAGTGCCTTCAGATCCTCCAGAAAAAGATAGAGAAGAAGGGCCTCCAGGTAAAGGCGACCCCCCTTTTGTCTCTGGTTCTTAGTAGTTACTTTCTCTCTCAACAGATTTAGGTGTAAGTTTTAACTTTGCACTGAAATGAAACAGCGTTTTCTGTAGCCTTGCCATTCTGTGGTTTTGCCATAATTTACTGCACACCTTGTAAGCATTGATGCTTCTGCTAAAAGGAATTACACAGCATGTCAACGAACAAGCGTTGGCTTTCTTAAAAGGCAGCTTGTATTGATTTCTGTTAATGAACTACCCAAAGTGCAGAAGAGCTGTTGTGGCTGGTGTTCAAAGCAAGAGTCCCACTCCTGCATGTAAATATGTTTTCAAGTCTTGGCACACTGAGCCTTGATGTTCAAAGGTGAGATGGGAGGGGGAATCTTATCCTGCCAACATTACATATGGTAAGCAATACCTCCTTCTGCAAAAGGTTCCCCTGGAATCAAAGGGAACCTTCGCAGAGCAAGCAGCGCACTAAACTTAAAAGGAGCCATATGGAGTTGGCAGCTGCTCGTTTCATTGGAAAGGCAAAGGAGGCAACATTCCCCCTCCCCTTGCACAGTTTGGTTTTGGAGGCCTGCTTGTTTCGTCTCCCTGAGATGGTAAGTTAAAATTCCTTGGGAATTTCCAGCATGATGAGTTGATGGCAGATGTGCTCTTGGGATTGCTGCCCTTTCCACCCCACGGAGCAGTCGTTCGTGGGGACTGAGCTCCCTCTTCTGCCCTGTACCCATGGGTGTAAAGAACGGAGAGGGAACAGCTGCTGCATCCTCTCACCAGCAGTGAGGGCAAGAGTCCTGTAAGAAAAGGAAAACAACACGCAAGATGGAAGGAGATGTGTAAACCTCCTCTTCTTCCATTTTTGTTGTAGCAGGAAAGTCGCCTGACTTCCTGAGATCACTGTCCTCCGACAAAGCAGCAAGAGGTGGAAATGTCGACACCACTCCCTCGTTATTCTCTCCTCGCTCCAGACTGATCAATAATT